GGTCACCCCGCAAGGCAGCGGGCGCAGGGGGCTAAGAGTGGGACCCCACCTGCCTAGCGGCACGGCACAGCACACTGCCTGGCACCGCGGCCCGCCGGCACTGCGAGCAACGCACATCTGCATTCCCCTTCATGCCGGCACCGCTGTCCTTGGAGGTGGCAGCATCTTGAATACTCAATTAACATGACATTAATTAGCTGGTGACACTTGCAGAATCCCTAATGAGCCCATTCCACGGAAATACTCCTTTCCAAGCAAAAAAAAAAAGGGCCATTACTGGAGGAAGGGAGGCAGCATCGCCCATGGGCACTGCGGCTCCCCGGCACGAGTCACCAAAACCCCGTCCCTGAGCACCAGGGCTGCGGGTGATGCTTTTGGGACGGCCTCGTGCAACCCCCCCGGAGCTGCCTGCTGCTGCGGGACGGGCAGATCTGCCTGCCCGGGTGAGCTGAGCTTGGCTGCGGGCATCCCACCCGTGAGCCCCAGAGCCGGCGTGTGCCCTGAGAGCACCGTGGCCGACCGTGAGCTGGCCGAGGGGACCAGGAGCCACCTTTGTCACCTCTTCGCACCAGCTGGGTTGGATATGACAAGCCACCAATTCGGTGTGTTGTCACATGTCAGGGTGACGCACTGAACCCCCGCCGGGAAAATTACAGAGCGACCGATTTCCCGGCGGCTCCCGGCGCGCTGGCGGCTGCGCGGCTCCGCCGCTCCCCCTCTCCGCAGTAATTACTGCTTTCTAACGGGCTGTAATTACTGCGAGATGCAAACTCTCCGAACCACCGCCGTCACCCGTCAGGCACAGGCAGCCCTGACACCAGCAGCTTGCCGCCGGCTTTGCCCCCTCCTCTTAAACTTGAACCATCATCAGAGCCGTCACGCCGGGCCGGGTGAGATGTGCCATGGACCCCCCCCCATCCGGCGCGGTTTACCTCCGCCAGCTGCCGACACACAGGCAGGCTCAGTCGGGCTCGCCATCACGAGCAGCCCCGGCTCTTGCCACCCCTAAACCAAATCCAGCCACTGACAGCGCACCGGCCCGGGGACAGGCACCCATCGACAGCCACTTCTCCCAGAAGAGGTT